TTTCAAAAAGGAATTTTCCAATATAGTTAAGATCAAACACTGATCTTTTCCTGTACAAAATTGAACTTGGAATATTGCAAAAGCAAATAAGCATATTGCAGCAACAAGTGCTTTTTATACAACAGAGTTGGTATGTTTCCATCAATTTTTTTTTTTTATATAACCTGAATTTTACAGGTAGAGTGAGGCAAATTTGTTAATATTAAAATAAAATCAGTTAATTTTTATAAAAGAAAATTTCTTTTTTTTTTTTCATTTCAAAGGAAATAAAAATGAATGAAGGATTTTAATTTTTTTTAATCTGTTCCATTTCTTTTTGTTTTTTTTAAACCCATAACAGTATTTCTAAGTGTTGTGTTTGGCATTAAGTGATCCAATAATTTAAGAAAAAAAAGTGAAAGATGTGATTTTTGAGAACTGATTGACAAGTTACTTGGAAAATTTCCCAAATTACCACCCATTATGCAAAGCGCATTATTTTATTCATTTGAAAGCAGGATTTATATGAAAATCTTTTATGCAGCTTACATTATGTCATCACTAAATACCTAAGGATTGGGATGAAATACATAAAACTAAAATGTAATTAAACAGAAGTTTTCTGAAATAGACAAACAATTCCAATGATGTGTACATAATCATCATCCTTTGACCTCCCTATAGTTGATTGGAACTCCATTGACAATCCCTTTCCACACTATTCAGTCCTGCATTGCTGTCCCCAGATCCACAATGTCCAACACTGAGTCCCGAGCTATGGTTTCTGGGAAAGAGAATTTTCATGAGAAGACACTTCCAGAAGAATACCATACTTAGTAAGGATGAGAGGATTTTCCCTGCCTGCTTAGTGGCAAACTGTAATTGTTTTCATTTGAGCTTAAGAGAGAATTGGTCTCAGTAAATTGTGTTGTGTGTTTGCATAGTACTAATTAGTACATAGTACTAATGGCATTATCATTTTAGGGATAAGTATTTTTTGCAAAATAATTCTTAAAAAACAAGATATCCTCATTCAGGAAATGAAGGAGGAAAAAGTGTTAGTGGCAATTTATCTTATTTGTTTAAATACTAAACAGATGGTCAAAAGATCAGCGGTTTCATTTAAAGAGTTCATTAAAACAGGTCACTAACAAACTCAAAACATTTTATATATTTTCATGATATAAAAAATACCATGTAAACAATTATCATTAACTTTGAGTGGGTTTTGTTTTTAGGGTGGAATACATTTTTGTCATGAAGGATAGTTTAATTGCTAATTTCTAAAGTTCAATAGAGTTTAAAAACAACTTAGACCAAAATAAAATCTATATTATAATCAAATCCATGTTTTGGGTCCATTTCAAAAGGTATAGAACTTCACAATTAAGGCAAATAGAACCTTGCTTGATTGTGCAGTTCTTTGCAGGCAAGTGGTCAAATCACACCAAATCAGATGATGGTTTCTCTTGCAAAGGGAGACACAAGCTCAAATCCTGCTGGAGGGCACATAAGTATTCTTAAGTGTGCAGGCTGGTTGACAAAATAAACACTGTTTAACATAAATGGAACGTCTACTCAAATACAGGTATCCACTAAAAATAACATTTGAAGTAATAAAAATAAAACATTATTAAATTCTTTGTAGCTTGCATGTACCACCAGAAATTATGTATATCTTTACATCCTAATTTGTAAGCATCAAGACAAAAACTGCTTATTTTTCACATTGTTGATGCAATTAACCATATATATCAGTAAAATTTGCTAATGTGTCTAATTTTGTTAAATCATAATTTTTGGATGTGATTTATACATGCAGTAAATCAGCACACAAATACATTCTAGCTTCAAATTTCTTGCTTGGTATTGCTTCACTGAATAATTTTTTACTTTCACATTCTCTGGTGACCATTTACAGATGTTATTAATGTAAGAATTTATTCCATTAATATGAAATCATTAGATTTGTTTATTTTCATCTTTGTTTAAAAATCAGTTAAGATTAACTAAAAATAACTGAAATTAATATTAATTTCAGTTATTTTCAGTTAATCTTAACTGATTTTTTAGACAAAGATTGTCTACCCATGTAACAGTTATCTTCTAAAGGAGTAATTTAAAATGGGTGCCATAAAGATGTCTTTAAATTCAGTGTAAGACCTGACTGGGTGGAATGAATTAAATATTTGAGAGGATTTCAAGAGGGATGAGGGAAATAGAAAGGTTGCAAAAAGGATTATTTTAAAGAGAGTACTATTTGTTAACTTGCATCAATTTGTGAAAAACGTAAAAAGTGGCTTTATTAAGCTCATATCACAAGAGTTAGATTCTTGAATCTTCAAAGCAAAATAAAATTATTAATGGAATATATATGGTGGTGAACAAGAGTGTCTTTTTGTAATCTCATAAGTAAAATAAAAAGTTATATCAGAATGACAAGATAATTTTAAGTGATTCTACCATTAATCATTCAAAATCATTTGGAAAACCATTTATCATAAAAAAACGTGACAACAGCAGATTGAAATTCAACCTTGACAGAGTGGAAGATCCTCCTTCCATTTGTGAATCTTCCCAGGCAACAATTGGCAGAAGATTTGCACCACTGCTGGAATCTGATGAATATGCTCAAGAAATGAAGTTGCCAGTCAAATGCTTGGAAAACATTTCCAGTAAACCCTAAGCTTGGGTCACAGAGATTTTGAATATGAACATCAAGTACATGACAAAAAGAGAACAAAGAAATCAATAAAAAGATCAAAGTGGAATGAATTTAAGAACTGTACCAAAACAGGAGGCTGAACAACATCTGAAAGCCATTCCAAGTTTTTTTAAGATATAACAAAACAAAAGTAGTTCACAATCAGCACAATACAAGACAAAGACGGAAAATACCTCCCAGAAGAAATAATCATTGTGAACAGATGGACATAATATTGCAGAGAGCTTTATAAAGCGTGACAAATAGAGAAAGCTCAGTGTACTCACAAGCCAAAAGTCAATAGATATTTTTTCCACCACTTCATTAAGTGAAAGCCATAAAATCAGTGAAAAATGGAAAAGCAATTTAGCACTGACAACATATCAACCAAACTGATAAATCAAAGGAGAGGTAGTGATTCCTTACCAGACTGGCCAAAAACAGGGAAAAAATCACGATAATCAAATATCAAAGAAAGGCAACTTACAACTGTGCCAAAATTACAGAACTATCAGTAATCAGTCACACAAATGATACTCAAAGAATCCTGAACAGACTGAGATCACAGGCCAAAGAATTAATTGCAGAAAAACAAGCTGGGTTCTGCAGTAAAAGAAACATCACAGAACATACCTTCATGTTATATGTGAGGAATACTGCCAACACTAGCAAGATATCTACCAAGTCTTCATCAACTTTTAGTGTGGTCTGTGAACAATCATGACCACAACATAGGCCACAAGATCAACACCATTCAACATCTATTTTCTTGTTTGCAGTCCTAAACATTAATAGCAGAGATTTAGAGAATATGCTGAACATAAGACTCCTTGGCATCTTCTACAGGGAACCTATTACAAATGAAAAAAAATTAGGATAACTAACATTACAGTACATTGATTGATCACAGCAAATAAATGGAAAATGAGATGGCATTACAAGATCTTTCCAAGGGAACAATGCTAAGGAAACAAGGTAATGAAAACTGTAGGCAGACAACATGATTGAGTGGACAGAGAAATGCATTATTGAAACTATCCCATGGCTGCAAGAATTTGAGTCAAATCGTGATACATTTGTTTATGCAGAGTCTTTATAACCGGATCAGTTTACAAATTCAGTAAGAGAGATAGAAATCAAGACTTTTCTTACTGCTTGTGAGTTAAAATTATACAAAAATTCAATGTAAAAAAAACAAAAAAAAAAAATACCTTTCTTTATAAATCAATATAACTTTCTTAGAAGAATAAAAGTCAAGATTTGATTTATAGCAGCTCATTGAAATAGATTTTAAAGACTTTTGACAGAAATTTTTAGTCTCATAAAGATCAAAATAGTGTTACAAAATTCTTCAAAATCTCTTTTGCATTTATCCATTTATTACTTTATATGTGAAAAGCGATTTCAAGCACTGCTTCCTTCAGTTTGGGAATACAATCAATTTAGATTTTTACTTCTCCAAAGCCATCATTAAAACAAATTCATTAAGGTTTGGTAGGTATATTTCTGTTCTCAATTAAAATCTGGATAGCTCACATACAAAACAATTGATTATAACTGAGTTAGAATTAAATTTGTTATTTTATATCTATTTAAAAGCATAAGGTCTCAATTCAGTGATTTTTAAATTTTAACTCTTGAAATAGCTTTTTAAAGAGATTCAAGAGTCAATAGTGTTGTTAAAAATTATTTACCATATTAATTCATTAAGAGAGGTATTTCAAAAGACTGGGTCTGAAGTGTTCCAAATCTGAATGCCATGGAAGGCACTGGTTCAATGATAGAAATTCTAGCCAAGAAACAAATGAATATTAGAAATCATTACTGACTGATTGACTCATTGGGTTAAAATTGTTGCTCTTTCAAAGCTTTACATCTTCAAGAGCCAGAAAATTCTTTTGCTCTTTAAATATTTTTTAAAATAATCTAATAGTTTTTATTTATATATTTGTTTTTAAAACATTTTATCTTTTTTGTAAAGATGCTTCATGGAGAAAACCATGAACTAAACAAAACTCTAAGAACAATAATAAAAATACAAATATAAGTTTTAAATACTCAAGAAATATACCTACACACCTGAATAAGATGCAATTTTCTTTCAAAGACGAGCATCAAATTGGTGACCAAGAAGTGAGAGTTTCCAATCAAAGCACAAGCTGAAATCAACTGTATTCTTCATTTTTTCATAATACAAATCATTATCCTGCAGTTCCAATTTGGTCTTTTCTTTTTTTTCTTCCCCTCTACTTTTATTGATGACAGATTGTCCAAGCAAAATTTAGGATAATAATTAATGTCAAAGTTACAAAGCTTGTTATGACGAATCAATAATTAATTGCAAATCAGACATCAATTGCAGAAAGCTGGAAAAAATACAAAAGAAAAAACACATTTTAGTCTTTACCCACACACACATATATATATATAATTATTTATTTAAAAATTATAACATAAATATGTTATAAAATCACTACAAAAATAGCCATTTTGTTTTAACACCTCCAGTGTCTTATCAAGTGATGATGTTGAATGTAGAATAAATGGTTTTAAAGGTTTCAAATTAATTAACGATCCTTCGCCAGGGAAAAACGCTGTTACATAAGCTAGAATGACCAATCAAAACAAGTATACGAGAATTCAAAAAACTTGACAACGAAGTAAGGTTATAATAGCTATTAAAAGCTTTAAAGTTGGGGCTATACTAAAATAGAATTTATTCTAATAAGTATTAAATTATATGATAAAATTTTATATTAAAATTAAAAGTAGAAAATTACCAATTTTAAAATCTAAATTTAATCTCTATCAAGTTTAAAATTATAAAATTACTGAGGAGAAAAGAAAAAAATACATCTGTTATTCAATTTATTTTTTCATTGAAATTAAATTAGAATAGACGCTAATATCGGCTGGTCTTCCTGACAAAATGTATACATTTTAATTCCAAGTGTGTGAGTGGGGTGCTAACCTCTCGTATAAAACAATACAAACACACAGATTATAATACATAAGCACCCAGACATATTTAGATATACACACACAAAAAGGTGATGAGACAGGAAACATCTCCACGGCCCTTTATAAAAAAAACCCCGAACACATACATACATACACAATTAAATGTGCATGCATTTTCTATATACATAGACACTGATAAATATATGTACACACATCCACATACATTGACCTAGACAATTTGATAAAACAATCAAGAAATATTCAAGACTTAAAGTGTTATTAAATGAATGCTAACCACTTATTAAAATAACTTATATGGGCAAATATACATAGATAAAAATGGTCAAATAGAACAGAGAAACAAAGAATAGGGAAAAAAAGGACATTAAAACAGATATATATGTTTAAAAATAACATTATCTAATATATAAAAAACGAAAATTCCAAACACACAAACATCTATAAAAATATATATTTTTATCATATAAGTTGATATTATTATACATTAGGTGAAAGAAAATAAGATAAGAACTACCCAGATATAAGTGTACAGTCACACATATATACACATATACATATACACACAAATATGTCTACACATACCTATATATATATATATATATATATATATATATATATATATATATATATATATATATGCACACATATGTATATATGCACATGCAGAAGTATAAATATATCAACCCACACAGTGACGTAAAAAATAAAACCAAATATAAATATATATACATACATGCACATATATACAAATACACATGCATGTATACATATGCGTATATAAACTAAACACACAAACATACATATATACCAACACATATACAAACACACACATATACATAAAAAAACCCATACAAACGTAAATTCACCTACATAAACATATATACGCACATACACATCCATATATATATATATATACACACACACATACAAATAGGAATATATATACAGAAACCTACATATATTCTAACAACATTGACAATAAAATATAGTAAAAGTTCATAATAATTTTTAAAATATATGTGTGAATAAAAACTATTCATTACTAATGCTTTTTGTCCTCTAATGGACTTTCTCATTTGCCTTGATAAATCTACCAGAGGATGAAATGTGTTGGTAAAGAATAGTTTTCTTTTTTTCTGTCTTTTCACAGATAATATTTTTTTATATTCTGAATTTATATATATATGTGTATGTGTGCGTGTGTGTGAATATAAGATATTGCACATTATTGCTGGTGTTAATAACAGTGTTTGATGTAACATAAAAGAGCTAAGTATATATTAATATATATACATATTATTCCTCACTAGTAGCACGACTACTTGGACTTTCAATGCAAAATGCAATCTTCAGGTGCTGAGTAGAGACTGACAGTTATGTAATTTAAATTTTAATAAAAATATCTGGTTAATGCAATGCTGGTGCAATCCATATATTATATGGGGAATTATTAGCCTAAATATAAAATAAAATCATTAATCCCAGTTTAAATCCTATTTTAAATATAAAATATAAAACCTGCCTCTTTCAAATGCAATTTTTTTCTTTTAAAACCAGTAATCCTCGTATAATATATGTACTGAGCCAGCATTGCATCAGCCAGATATTTTTATTAAAATTTAAATGATGTGATACTCAGCACCTGAAGATTGCATTGTGCATAAAACTCTGACTTGCTCTACTGGTGAGGAATAATATATATATAATAACCATAAATTTTTTGTTAAAGGATTTAAATTCCCTCATTCTTAGTAGCTATTTAAGGCATTTCTTCATTTACCTAAGATTTTTTTTATATACATATATGGAATCTGATAACAAGTAAATTCCAACTCTAATAATTAAGTGTATGGAAATGGCCAAAATCAGCAGCTGAAGTAAGTGGCAATTTTAAACAGTGACAGAAAAAGAAAGAAAATGATTCCATCTTAATCTCTACTCTTTTAAACGATTCCTTTCCAGTGAATTAGAAATAGATTAAAGAAAATGTTTTATTGCAATTCTTTTTTGTCATAAATGAAATATAAAAATAACTGGAACACGAAAAATGCTTAAAAATTTTTCCTGTATGATTTTTCAGGCTATAAATTATGTGCAGACATTTTGAAAATCTTTTTTTCTCCTAACACATTGACATTAAATAGAAAGTTAAATCTAATGAAGATATTTTGTTTACTTAGAAAATAATGGCATCATACATGTCACTATATGCATATATGCTTATAATGAAAAATCAGAGTTCTTGATAAAAGATTTGCTTCCAAAAATGATATTTTGTAATGTTTGCATACTTACTCATTTTGTATGCTTGAACAATCTTGAAGAACTTGCAAGGATTCCACAGAATTTCGAGATAAAAATTGCCCATCTTCCATATTGGAATAATACTGGGAATTTGTTGTTGACTTCTTAAGCTGGTAAAAAATACACAAAATATGGAAAACTTCAAAGATAAGTATTAAAATTACAAGTTTATAAATATGGAGTTTTTCCAGACTAGGATTTTCATTTTTATTGCTTTCATCACATTATTTTGGTTATTGTACCCTCTTAGCCTTCCTATTCTCTAATACTCAGGATAGCTCTATATGAAGTATTAGACTATTCAAAGTAAAGTTGTAAGTTCAATCATTAGTAAAACCACTATATAGAGAGATCTGTAGTTAGAGATAGACAACAATCTGTGATATAAACAATAAAGATGAGGAACACTGAACAATCACAATGCATTTTCTCCGAATTTTAGGTGTAAAATAGTTACTGGTATAAGATAAACAAGTAAAATCACAGTATGATTTGACTGAAAGATAGTTTGCCAAAAAGGAGTTAAGAATTTTTAACAAATCAGTGACAACAAAAATAACTGAATATAAAGAAGCAATGAACATTTTTAACTGTATGCTCATCTTATTAGTTTCAACTTGAAAATGTTATTAACAAAACTATGTCCTCCCTTAGGTGTTATTTCCAGGCTTAGATCATCCCCAGTTAAATAACCGAGTGCTTATATAGAAGGAAAAAAATTAAAAGAGGGAGAAATAAGAAAAACAGGATTTAGTGTTACTTAAAAAAAAAAAAAAAAATACTAAAAGTTTCTACTTCATTCAGTGGGAACAAGAAGTATAAAATTTAAAAGTATTTCCCAATATTTAGTAGGCCAACCAAAAATGTTAATTTCTCCATTAAATAGACTGTCAGCAGTTCAACAAAAACTCTTTGCTTCACTTAAAAGTAAAGCAATTTTTATTCAATGATAATCACTTTTGAAACTTATATTGTAGAGAGAGAATTAAAACAAACTGTTACTCACAACAACTTCAATCAACTTCCAAATGCTGACTTGGAGATTTTTCTGTAGAGTTGTTATACTGGAGCTATACTTTTGCAGGTGAGCAATATGTTGATTTGCTTCATTGAGATTGTTCAGATGCTCCAGCCGTGCTTGTCTGTATTCTCTGAAATAATGAAATATACTAAGTTGATGTATTGATTTGTTTTTTATGGCTTATCAAACTTTTAAGGTTTTTTTTTTAAAGCCAAGATTGTGGATTGTAAGAATATTTTGGAGATAATAATTTTCTGATACAAGTCTTACTATTTAACCCATAGCTGGAAGAAGAAGTGGATTCATACATTTCCCAAAGATACTTGCATGTAAGTGAATATAATGAAGCCAACCGAAATTCAAACTTGGCTCTTTGATTTCCCATTCCGAGCGTTTATCCATTACATCACCCACATACCAATGATTACAGCACATGTTATTTCGTAATGGTCACCCATCTAGGCACTGACCAGGTTCAAAATTCAGTAATCAGACAAAAACTGGTGTTTGAACATGATGTGGCTATAAGCCAAAATATACTCAGCCAGTGTTGCAGAAGAAAATTCCAAATTAACCTACATAAGACTGTCACTGACAATGAAAAGTTCTAGGAGAAAAAGCAGACACAAGCTGACATTAATGCATAAACAAGTCACAAAGGACTAAATTTTTTTTTATTTCAAATACTTAAAAAAGGACTGTCATCTAAAAAAATATAATAGTTTGCAGGTCCTGGTTTCTAAAATATTATTGTTATATAACAATGACATTTAAAAGATTTTACAAGTGTTTACTAATCCATTAAGTTTATCTTCTTGATACATGAAATTATGTTTTTAAAGTAGTATCAGAGCTTTTTGTCATATGTTAATAAATTGTCTTCACATGTATTCTATTGTCGTCTATTCAAAACTAACACAAGTCATACAACTTATAGTTTTCTCAGAAAGGAAAATAGATTTGTATTGTTTAAAAAGTTCCTAATACTTTGTATATTCTGATTTTACAAGTACAAGCATGCACTGGTTTGAATAGGATTAAAAGTATGTGTTGTGAAGTAGAAGTTAGCACTAATCAGTTGCTATACTCGTACTACTGGTGGTTATTCTCAGTGACCACTTATAAGAGTGTTCACTTATACCTATGCAAATTATGCATACTAATTTGCTAGTATCACTACATCTCCCTGAACCTTAAGGGCTTTATTCCTTTCGTAGATCTTGTACTCCTTCTCCTGCTATTTTCCTCACTCTGCTCTATTTCTCTCTCTCCTGTATTTCCTTCCCTGGGAGACCTCGATCTGTCCCGGGTTAGGCTGTAGTCATATGTGTTTTCTTGCATAATCTGGTCTTCGTCCGAACTTTCAGACTCCTTTTGGCCCTCTTCCTCCTGCATTGTTTCCTCTTCCGACGTTTCCTTCTGTAATTGTTGTTCTACCAACTCATTATCAGATGGAATTGAATACATTTCTTCATCATTTCGCTCTTCCTCTTCACTCTGGGTCCTTATTTGGTCAGCATGGGCCAACACACTATCGCCATTCTCTCTATTTATTATGGCTGGATTATGTGGCCTTTTTGCATTATAAACTCGGCTCCTTCCGGATCCGCATCCTTGCTCTTTTTATACCACATCTTTTCATTTGTAGAGTATGACATTGTTAGCGGAGCTCTAATCTGTCTTCCCATTAAAGCTGATGGGCTTTCGAGTCTTCCCGCATGTGGTATCGTCCGATAACTTAAAAGCAGCCTCGGTAGAAAAACTTCTACTTTTTCTTTTTGCTGAGAGCATGCCTTTAAACCCTATTTTACGGTCTGAACCATTTTTTCTGCTAGTCCGTTTGATTGAGGGTGATATGGAGGAGTTTTATATGGTTTACACCCTATTTTTTCTAACCATACGTTAAGCTCTTCCTCACAAAATTCTGGTGCATTATCAGATACCAAGGTTTTTGGTACGCCATTTCTAGAAAATATGACTTAGAATTTGCTTTATAGTAGAACTTTTCTTGTTTGTAACCCGTATTATTTCAGGCCAACCTGAAAAGGAGTCTACTAATATTAATAAGAGTCCCACTCCATTAACGTATGCATGATCCATATGGATCTGACTCCATGGCTCCACTTCTTTGGGCCACGAATGTAACTTGGTTTGTGTAAAGTTTCTTAATTCTTTACATTTTTTACACTTCTTTACATATTCCTCAATGTCTCTTGAATAACCCGGCCACCAAACTTCTAGTTTTATCCTTTTTTGTGTGGCCGCTACTCCACAGTGTATATCATCATGTACACTTTCTATTATCGGTTTTCTTTGTGTTTCTGGGGGAACTACCAGGTCCCCATTGCAAGTCACTCCATGTTCTATTGTTAATTTGTGCCTTATTTCTTTATAGCGTCTTTCCGCCCTAGAACAATTTCCCCACAAATTTTTCCTTATTCTCGATACTATCCTACTTAGCACCGGATCATGTCTCGTTTCCGCAGCCATTCTGTCTAAAGACAAAACATCAGTCTCTATCAAGTGTAGGAATGAATCTTCAAATTCTTCCTCCGTTTTGTCTTTTGACTCCTTGTAAAACCTCAATCTTGATAGTGCGTCCATATGTGGAATTGAATTTCCTTTAACATACTCTATATCAAAGTCAAATGCCATCGTAGAATCCTTGATGTCGTGACTTTGGGTAATTCTTTCCTTGGGTTAAATATAAACTCTAATGGTCTATGATCACTTCTTAATAGAAATTTTTTTCCAATTAAAAATTGTCGGGCTCTAGTAGTTGTCCACACGATAGCCGATGCTTCTTTCTCTATGTTCGAGTAATTAAATTCATTGTTCGTTAACCTTCTCAACAAATACATTATCGGATGTCCTTCTTGTGATAATATTCCCGATATTGAATGTTCACTTGCATCTGTAGTGAGTGTTATGTCCTTTTTTGGATCAAAAATCAGTTTTTTTTCTTTTAATTCCTTTTCATTAGTAGCTCCTATGCATATGTCGTCTTGGTAACAAACCATATTTTGTACATTTCCTAAAACCTATTCAATGGCCCTTTGAAATATGGCATTCTTTTCCATCTTAGTAACCCTATTGGCATATTTATCGTGGTTACTTCTTTGAAGTTTTCGTCTATTGGTATTTGGAGGTATGCTGTTTTTAAATCTATTTTTGAAAAAACAGACATCCCTGCCAGTGCATGTAATGCAAGTTCAACATTGGGTATGATATAGTTTTTTAACTTCCCAGTTTTTTCCATTTTTATTTCATTAATCAACTTAGTAGAATTTATATTAAGCACATCATTTCCAATAAGCCTGTGTTTTTTTTACAACTTGTAACAATTATACGTATTACTTCAAATTTTTCTTTTAACTCTAATGAACCTTCAAAGTATCCTAATGTTTTTATAACCGACCCATTGAATTGGCGGAGTTGTAAACTGCTTTTTCGTAAAGGTGGCTTACCAATGTGTTCCCAAAAATTCTTTGGTACCAATGTTACTTCACTCCCAGTATCCATTTGCATATCTAAATTGCAGTTATTAATTTTGACCTTTACTATAATGTCTTTTTTCTTCTGTTCCAAAGTCTTATTTTTCAATGCAAAAACTTCCTTATCGGTGTCATTTTCTTGAATTCTTTCAATATTTTCTTTTTAATTTACACACTGCTTGAAAGTGGTTCTTTTTAAGCAATTATTACAAGTTTTCCCAAATGCTGGACACTTTTCCTTTTTTCACTTCATGTTCACGTCCACAATCTTAACACCTTCTTATCTTCTTTAACATGTGCGTATCAATGAAATTTTGTTCGCTGGGTTGACTTTATGATGGTGGTATTTCTGTATTAATTCTTGTTGCTGCATAAAGTCAATACATGTATTTAAAAGACATATTTCCTATTTGTAATTGTTCCATTATTTTATATCGGTGTGTCGCATTGGACATACCTTCAATTAGTCTTAATTGAATCAAGTCCTCTTCAATAGTCTGTTCGTCGTGTCCAAGTTTTTCAAATTCACAATATTTACTTGCATTTCGTAGACAGTGTAAAAATTTTATAATTGGTTCGTCAATTTCTTGTTTCAACGGCATGAATTTTGTTCTTTCTGCCACTACCAGCCTTTTTTTGGGTCTCATATTTCTTCTTATAATCTGACTTATTTTTTCGAAAGTCAGGTCTTCCAAATCTAAGGGATATGCCATGGTGGAGACTTTCATTACCGCCTCGCATCCAGCTGTAGCCAAAAATAAATCTGTGATTTCATTTTTGCCTCCCTTTTCCTTGTTGTCTTTCCACTTTTTTGTTCTCGCAGTGGCAGAGAAACAACGAATCCAAGTATCCACGAATTCTGGATCTTCCAGAGATAATTGGAATCCTATCGGCGATGCCATTGTTGTGAAGTAGAAGTTAGCACTAATCAGTTGCTATACTCGTACTACTGGTGGTTATTCTCAGTGACCACTTATAAGAGTGTTCACTTATACCTATGCAAATTATGCATACTAATTTGCTAGTATCACTACAGTATGAAAAAGATTGCACTGCTTCAAAATGAAATCAACATAGAAAATGAACAATAGCCAGCATATCTACATCAACATCTCAGTAAAAGATGAAGTCAGTAAAAACTTTTTAATGGAGATAGGATAGAATGAAAAGAAAGTAAAAAAGATCCAACAAAAAAGGGATGCAATGAAAACATTGTAAAAAGAAAACTTCCTCTTATTACACAATATTACAAAGCTGCCCATACTTATGAGAATTAATCTATACAATGCCACATTCTGTCAGAGAATAAAGACCTGCCTCTTTAAGGACACATTTACAATTATTATGAGCAAACACAAAGAGGCATCCATTGTAATTGGAACTATTATGTGGGCACTGCCAGAAAAACTGATTCCTGTGGCCAAATATGCAGGTGTGAACCAAAGATAATCACAAAATGAATCCCAATGAGTATGCCGGTAACCGAAAGAAGTCTTGTGAATAGCAGGTTCATTAGGATGAATAGATATAACAGTAGGGGAGAATGTGATAATGAAAAACTGCTCTAATTATTCCCCTTTATGTAACTTTTCATAAGTATATCTAAGTACACCTCAAGACATAAAAGGCATCAGTC